TGGTGACTGGTCTACTCAAATTCTCTATTTCTTCTTGATTCAATTTTGGATGATTGTATGATTCTAAGAATTTATCCGTTTCTTCTAGATTATCTAATTAGTTGGCATATAGCTTTTCATAGTGTTCTCTTATAATCTTTTGTATTTCTGAGGTATTTGTTGTAATTTCTCCTCTTTCATTTCTGATTTTATTCATTTGAGTCTTCTCTCTTTTTTTCTTGGTGAGTCTAGCTAAAGGTTTGTCAATTTTGTTTATCTTTTCAAAGAACCAGTCTTGGTTTCATTGATTTTTTCTTTTTTTTTTTTTAGTCTCTATTTCATTTATTTCTGCCTGATTTTTATTATTTCCTTCCTCCTACTGATTTAAGGCTTTGTTTGTTCTTCTTTTTCCAGTTTCTTTAGGTGCACTGTTAGATTATTTGGGATTTTTCTTGTTTGTTGAGATAGGCCTGTATTGCTATAAACTTCCCTCTTAGAACTGCTTTTGCTTTATCCCATAAATTTTGGCATGTTGTATTTTCATTTTCACTTGTCTCCAGGTATTTCTTGATTTCTTCATTGACACAATAGTTGTTCAGTAGCATTTTCTTTAATCTCCACATATTTGTGGCTTTTCCAGTTTTCTTTCTGTAGTCAGTTTCTAGTTTCATACCCTTGTGGTCAGAAAAGATGCTTGGTACTATTTCAGTCTTCTTAAATTTATTGAGACTTATTTTGTGGCCTAATATGTGATCAGTCCTGAAGAATGTTCCATGTGCATTTGAAAGGAATGTGTATTCTGTGGTTTTTTGATGGAATGTTCTGTATATATCTACTAAGTCCATCTGGTCTAATGTGTTAAGGCCAATGTTTTCTTATTGATCTTCTGTTTGGATGATCTATCCGTTGGTGTAAGTGGAATCTTAAAGTCCCCTGCTGTTATTGTGTTACTGTCTCTTTCTCCTTTTATGTTTGTCAATAATTGCTTTATAAATCTAGGTGTTCCTATGTTGGGTGCATAGATATTTACCAGTGTTATATCCTTTTGTTGGATTGTTCCCTTTATCATTATGTAATGCCCTTCTTTGTCTCTTGTTACAGTTTTTCTTTTAAAGTCTATTTTGTCTGATGTAAGTATTGCTACCCCTGCTTTCTTTTCTTTGCCATTTGCGTACAGTATCTTCCATCCCTTTACTTTCAGTTTGTGAGTGTCTTTAGGTCTGAAGTGTATCTCTCTCTTTTTTTTTTATAGATTTTATTTTTTTCCTTTTTCTCCCCAAAGCCCCCCGGTACATAGTTGTATTTTCTTTGTTGTGGGTCCTTCTAGTTGTGGCATGTGGGACGCTGCCTCAGCGTGGTTTGAGGACCTGTGCCATGTCCGCGCCCAGGATTCGAACCAACAAAACATTGGGTCACCTGCACTGGAGCACGTGAACTTAACCACTTGGCCACAGGGCCAGCCCCTGAAGTGTATCTCTTGTATGCAGCATATATGTGGGTCTTGTTTTCTTAATCGAATCAGCCACCCTATGCCTTTTGATTGGAACATTTAGTCCATTTACATTTAAAGTAGCTATTGATAAGTATCTACTTATTGCCATTTTGTTACTTTTTTCTTGGCGTTTTGGTGGTTCTCTGTTCCTTTCTTCTTTTGCTCTCTTTGTTTGTGACTTGATGGCTTTCTTTAGTATTATGTTTGGGTTCCTTTCTCTTAATTATTTGTGCATTTATTATAGGTTTCTGGTTTGTGATTACAGTGAGGTTCATATATGATAATCTAAGTATATAGCAATCTTTATTGAGTTGATGATCTCTTTAGTTTGACCTCTTTGTAAAAACTATTCTTTTAGTCCCCTTCTCCCACATTTTATGTTTTTGAATTCATAGCTAACCACTTATTTTTTGTGTGTGTATCCGTTACCCTCTTATCATTCAAATCGGTTATTTTAATACTTTTGTCTTGACCTTAAAATTATCTTCATAGGTGGTTGACCTGCTACCTTTATGGTATTTTTGCCTTTATCAGTGATTTAATTGCCTTTTTAAAAATAATTTTCTTATTCTTACTTGTAGTCTTCTCTTTCCCACTTAAATAAGTCCCTCTAGCATTTCTTGTAAAACTAGTTTCTCAGTGATAAACTCCTTTAATTTTTGCTTGTCTGGGAAATTCTTTATCTTTCCTTCCATTCTGAATAATAACCTTGCTGGGTAGAGTATTCTTTTTTTTTTTCTTCTCCCCAAAGCCCCCCCAGTACATAGTTGTGTATATTCTAGTTGTGAGTGCCTCTGGTTGTGGCATGTGGGATGCCGCCTCAACGTGGCCTGACAAGTGGTGCTATGTCCACTCTGGGATCTGAACAGGCAAAACTCCGGGCCACCTAAGTGGAGCGCATGAACTTAACCACTCAGCCACAGGACTGGCCTCAAGGGTAGAGTATTCTTGGATGTAGGTTTTTTCCTTTTAACATTTTAAATATATTGTGCCACTCCCTTCTAGCCTGTAAAGTTTCTACCGAGAAGTCAGCTGATAGCCTATGGGCTTTCCTTTGTATGTCACTTGTTGCCTTTCTCTTGCTGCTTTTCAGATTCTCTCTTTATCTTTAATTTTGGATATTTTAATTATAATGTGTCTTGGTGTGCGCCTCTTTGGGTTTATCTAGTTTGGTGCTCTCTGTACTTCCTGTACCTGGATGTCTGTTTCCTTCCTTAGGAAAGTTTTCAGCTATTATTTCTTCAGATAGATTCTCTGCCCCTTTGTCTCTCTCTTCCTCTTCTGGGACGCCTATAATATGGATGTTAATGCGCTTGATGTTGTCCCAGAGGTCCCTTAGAATGTTCTCGCTCTTTTTAATTCTTTTTTCTTTTATTTGTTTCTCTTGGGTGATTTCTTCTAGTCTTTCATCCAGATTGCTGATCCATTCTTCTGTATCATCTACTCGGCTGTTCAGTCCCACTGGTGAATTTGTCTTTTCCAGTATTGTATTCTTCATTTCTGATTGGTTCTTTTTTATATTTTCCAATTCATTGTTGATGTTCTCACTGACTTCATCCATTCTTCTCCCAACATCAGTGAGAATCCTTATGACTTTTTGTTTGAACTCTCTCTCAGGTATATTGTTTATTTTGTTTCATTTAGTTCTTTTTATGGGGTTTTGTCCTGTTCCCTTGCTTGGAACATATTCCTTTGCTTCCTCATTTTGCCTCTTTCTCTGTGCTTATATCTGTGTGTTAGGTGGGTCAGCTATGTCTCCTGATCTTGGAGAGGTGGCCTTATGTAAGAGATGCCTTATGAGGCCTAGCAGTGTGCTTCCCTCTTGTCACCAGTTCCAAATGTTCCAGGAGTTACCCCTGTGTGGGCTACATGTGTCTGTCTGTTGTGGCAGTGTTGTTCTTGCTGCAGGTACCCAGGGAGGCTATGCTGGCCCCCTGGCTCGCTGGTTGTAATGCTCAGCTACATTTGGCTACTATGGACCCTTCATCAGTTTATCGAGTTTGGGAATCCCCAGTACAGTTGGCTGCAATGTCTAATAGCACATTCCCATTGCAGTTTTTCTCTTAAGTGGGTGGGCCTCCAGCTTGTCTTGTAATTGCTAGGCTCAGGGCTTACAATTACTGTAGGGCTCCAGCCTGCAAGGTTGTTGTCAGCTCTCTCAGAATTGCAGCTGAGTGGGGCTGATCCCCTACATGGCCGTTTCAGAAACACAGGTCTTCTGCCGCTGACAAGCCCCACGGCCCTCAGGTCCATACATATCATCAACACAGTCCTGGCCCATGCATATGTCCTGACCCCCTAAAGCAGACCTCGTCACCCCACTGCAGAGGCCCCCACACACTCTACACACTCCTTGCACATGCCCTGCCCCCGAGAGGCGAACCCTCTTGCCTGCCTGCACATCATCCAAGCACCTAGTCTATACAGGCTGACAAATTGCCCAAGAGCTTGCTATTGGGTGGAGCCAGTCCCTAGGGTGGGCTGCCTTCCCTGGCTGAGATGGGTTAAATTGGCACTCTAGTGGGTGGGGCAGACCCCTGAGATAACAGACCAGGGGAAGAACTCCAATGGAGTCTCCCAGTGTCTGTGTCAGTTCGCCTGTACTAGGTCACAATAATGGCTGCCCCCAATGTCTCAGTCCCTGGAGAGGTCTCACCTCTCACTGAGATGCGTTCAGAGCCTATCAGGTGATGAGTCTTTTTTCAAGAAAGAACTGTGCACCTTTCTGGTGATTTTTGGTTGCTTTTCGAAATGGGTGAATTTGTGCTGTATATTATTTTTACCAGAAGCTTTTTTATTCCTTTTATTGATGAGAATTAGACGTGAGTTATTTAACCTAGTGGTACTTAGTTCTTAGCATTTTCATTTTCTTTCCAGCCCTCATTTGCTTCTCCTCTAACCAAAAAAGACAAAAAAAGAATAGATTTGTGATATCTCAGTTTAAAGTAGAGTCCTGCTCACAAACCACTTCTGTTAGTTTAAGAGAGCTAAATAAGGGCAGGGGGAAGGTGGTTCTTAGTATTTGGTGGTAAATGTTTATCCTACTTTGGATTCGAAATGACTTTCAATAGGGAATAGCTGGTGTACAACTAGTTATGTTTGTTAGGAAAAGGGAAGTGAAGGGAGGAGAATTGGAAGAGGCATTCTGTTACCAGCAACTACTAGGTATTGTAGAAGCCTTTTCTCTGGTCGTAGAAGCCCAATTAAAATGTGTCCCTGGGTTTCAGAGGCAGTAGAGATGCTGGTGATTGTCTCATCCTGGCACTTTTGTGTAGCCTGAAGATGTTGACGGTCTCTGCTCTTTGTCCCCCAGTCCCTCCCCCTTCTCCTTTTCCTTCCCTGACAGTGTCTGCGGGGTGGTAAGAAAGAGAATTTGGGGACCAAGAAATGAGGGACTGAGAAGGAGGAGGATCTGCTTTTTACTCTCCGGGTTCTTGCTGCTCTGTGCTAGAATACACCCCCAGGAAACTGGGATTCCCAGTCTGGAAACACTGGAGAATGACTTATTTCTGCCTCTTTTCCTTTGCAGGAAACACATGAAATTGTGGCAATCAAGAAATTCAAGGACAGTGAAGGTATATATATGGGTTTTTTTCTTTCTGTATTTAGTTTCTGTGACTAGAATGTGGTAGAGATGGGATCTAGCTGATCAGACTCTGTTCCTGAGATTTTAAATTCTCAATCTCAGAAAGTAAATATAGCTTATTTATAATCATGCTTTGCTTTGAAACATCTAGTTCCTACTGTGTGAATCTTTTCAAGTCACGTGATATTAGAAAACTCATCTTGTATTTTAAGATATTGGAAATCTTGCTTCAAATGCCTGATAGAAGGTGTACTATTTAAGCTGTTCCTAAATATTATTAAAATGAGAAAACTAATTTGAAGTAAATACTTCTGTGGGTTCACACAAGTAGAGAGTGCTGTATGCAAGGCTTCAGTATTGAATACTGTGCTCTCCGGTTCCTGGTCAGTTAGAAATTCAAGGATGAGTGGTTGGTAGACAGTAGTGAGGGAGTGATTTTATATTTAGAATAGCTTATTGGGAGAATAAAACTTTTCAAGAAGAAATACCATAGTTGGAGGCCTTGGTCACACGTCCAGACCATTTCAAATGGAGTATTAAAATTACCCTATGCTGGGCAAGAAAATTTAAGATAAAGTATTAAAAAAGTAATGTACAAAAACAATAAATAAAGCATTTCAGTAGTTCATTAGGTTTTAAATCTAGACTATTGGTCATCCAAAGATAGCCAAGTAGAAAAACTGACCACAAAGACACGCATGGCCTTTAGAAAATCTCTAAGCAGCATTTTTCCTTTTTTTTTTTTGACAGAGATCTACAGTAGAAATATTTTTTATGTCCTAACTCATTATCCACATACATAACGTCCTATATATAACTGAAGCAGAAGCGTCACAGAACTACTTTATTTTAGTAATGTGAGGTTCTTCATTTTCCATTCTTTCCTGCTGATATAAATTCATATAAATGCCTATTGTGGCATCAAATACATTGATTTCAACACTAATGAGTCACAACCTGCCATTCGAAAAATAGCTCTCCAGGCGTAAGAGGCGCCAGCATAGCATCAACCTCCATATCTAATTGGAATTTGACAATAGCAGTCTTAGCCTACCTTCATCAGCACACATTGACTGAGTACTGTAACTCACCAGTCTTCATATTTGTGAACAGTTTCATCACCTTTACCTTAGAGACTTAGCAAACTAAATAACAAAAAGTCCTGGGTTAGATCCAGCAGTGTTTGATGTAACCCAACTCTGATGTGCTGGTTATGTGGAGCACATGCACATCAGCTGGGACATTTAGCAGCCGTTGTCTTGGCAGCCTCAAAGAGAAGGCAGGAAAAATGCTTTTAGCTTGTTCTAAAAACAAAACAAAACAAAACTGCTTCAAATGATGTTGTCTAACAGGAAGCAATAGCCCCAGGCCAGCACACTATGAGATCATTGGAAATGAGCTCTTTGAGCAGGGGCTTTGGGCTAACCACAGGTGGCCAAGAGAAAAGTGGAGATCTACTAAAAAAGAGTGGTTGCAACAGTAGATCAAAGCGTAACCTTCTCATGTGTATAAAGACTTCTGGCTGTGCATTCATCTTGTAAGGCACATCATCAAGCGTCTGTTGCCACTAAAAATAATAATTGTCATCAAATTTTTGAAAAGCAGTACAATCTAGGCCACGTATGCCATTGCTTTTTTTAAAAAAACTAAGTAACGTATTCTTCACAATGTCTATCCTATGCATACTAATTTTTAGCTTCAATTAAGTGATATATTTGTACTTGTGTTAATGATACCTTCAGAGTGGCAATCAAGAGTGTATCTGTTGAAATTCACTGAGCGCTGAGCCAGGTGCTGTCAGAGCTATGAAGGTAAATCAGGTGCGGATACTTTTAGGAAGCTTATGACCTATTAGTAGAACTAAGATCTGTAAGTAAATTCAGTAAAACAGAGTAGAAAGCAATCAGTGTCTGAATGAATTTGCATAATTTCGAGGAGAGAGAGATTGTTTCTAGCTGTTGCATCCTGGGAGTGTATGAATAGTCTAGACGTTATAGGAAACATTTGATCAGCCCTTATTTTACCGAGCTGACAAAACATGAATCCACTCTGCCCTGTCTCTGCCAAGCATTATCAGTTACCATACCTCGCAGGCATGCAGCCTTCTCCCCGACCCACCTTGCAGATAGACACCTTCGTGGGTATGCCTGTACATACTTCCAGAGGGACACTTCCTAAACACTTCTGTGATCGACTCTGAAGACATATCCAATTATTCATAAGTGTTTAGTTCCAATCCTATTCTAGGCACACTTTCTTACGGGTTCCAGTTCCTCCTGGGAGATCTTATACTCTCTTTTCTGTCTTTACCCTTTTCTTCCTGTCAGTGGTATCTTGCTTGATGGAAAGTAAGGGAACGTGAGTGGTGAACAACCCTTTTGGAGTGTGAAGTGTTCATAGATAGTCTAGTACAGATGAGGATGTCCACTCAACCCCTATGTAAACCACTTAATTCTGAATCAATTTATCATCTTCAATTTCAGTCAGGCCAATTATAATAAAAAATAGAGTTTCATGATAATATTGCCCTTATTGTCATATAGCTCTCATTAATCTCTTTTATTACTCTGCAAATACTCTTTTGATATTATGATAGTGACTTTTCTAAATCCAATGTTTAAAAATCTTTGTGAAGATAATAAAATAATCCTATGAAAACATTGTTAAACTGAAATAGGATCTGAACTTGGTCTGACCCACGTTCAAGCCAGACAAGTATTCTTACAGTGATTGTATTAAGGGATATTTTATAAGAGTATATATTACCTCTGTTAGCTTTAAGAGATTATGATAATGTCCTATTTTCTTGTTAAATTCATGTGTATCCACAAATTTGTGTAAAACGTTTTTGGAACTACATTTTAAGGTGGACTACTATTTAGTTCAAGAAGTCCTTATTATCCCAGAATAATAGATCACTATTTAAAAGGGGAACCAAAATTTTATAGTAAATGAAAGGTTGGATAGGGACTTTTAAGTTGGGAAAATGAAACTCAAATTACGAAAATAAGTTTATCTTATAGTTAACACAATTTAGGTTATAATAGCAACTATGTACCATTTCTGAGAAGAAAGAATCAAGTCTTTTGGGGAGGAGGGACAATTTTTACAGTAAAATTGTAGGCTAGGTCAGTGAATGACTTTCACGATAAGAAGAGGGTTATTAAAAAATACATGAGGGGCCGGCTCTGTGGCCGAGTGGTTAAGTTCACGTGCTCTGCTTCGGCACCCCAGGGTTTTGCTGGTTCTGATCCTGAGCATGGACATGGCACCACTCATCAGGCCACGTTGAGGCGGCATCTCACATGCTACAACTAGAAGGACCCACAACTAATAATATACAACTCTGTACTGGGGAGATTTGGGGAGAAAAAGCAGGAAAAAAAAAAGATTGGCAACAGTTGTTAGCTCAGGTGCCAATCTTTAAAAAAAAAAAATACATGAAAAGCTTTGTCAGTTTACTCTTCATTTTTGTGTGTTCCTGTCTTTCTTTGTCCTTGTCGGTTTTTATTCTCCAGTTGTTAGCTGATGTAACTCTATCAGATCACTTATCAGAGGCTTTGCCTATGATTCTTCCTGAAAGACTTTGACATACTGGGTGGGGATAAAAACTCCTGTTAAAAAGAAGAAATGTTTGAGTGATATCATTTTTATCTGAGATTGCTTCGTCAATATTTTCTTGTTGTGATGACTTTTGCTTCTTTATACATTATCATAAATGTGGAGTCTCGATAATAAATTCTTAATGATACCCTGAGTGATAGTATTATGTTTGTCTATTAATGTAGGTTTGCACAGAGAAACATTAATAATAAACACCTAACCAACCAGAAGTCTCCATAGAATTAGTTCTGCTCAGTATTTGGATTTTCTTAGAAAAATGACCACAGACCAAAAAGATTCTAGAGATTATTTAGTTAAAAGGTACTTTTCAGACTATGTATAATGATAAATTTAGCCTAATTCTCCTACCCTTCCTATAACTCTAATCTTGTACAATGAGATTTGATGTTCAGATATTCTAATCTTCTATCACTATTGGATCATCATTCTCATGCACACACATATATAAGTTTCTGCCAGCCTCAATTTATTAAATAATCCAAGATCCCTGATTTAGACTAGATTGCTTTGGACCAGCAAGATTTAAAAACATTGTCTGTTCAACCTTTACTTGAGGAGGTCCTGTGGCCTAGAACTTACTTTTGATGTACATTTGGATCTTCTGATGTGACAACAGCTTTTGCTTTTTTGGACTTTTCAGTCCTTCCCTGAGTTTGCAGGTGATGGGGTAGGGAGGGATCCTCCCTACTTGTCAGTGGGCCTCAGTACATGGCAAGGAGGCTGCCTCTCAGGGAGCTGTGTAACAGTCTACGGTGAAGATGGAATTTAGCTTGTGTCTGCTTTTGTATCAAATAAAATTGCTTGCATTTCATATCCTGCTGCTGTTTATGTTTTATGCAAATAAATATTGTTCTCTTGGAATGGACGTATTTATTCTTAATCATGAGAAAATGTTTAACTGATCATCCATTCTTTCCTTCAATTTATTTCATCCTTATTTTCACCCAAACACTAGAAAGCTCTATTGTGATCTCTGGATCGAGGTAACTTTTGTTTCTTATTTTGTATAATGGAACAAAACAAGAATTCATAATCTTTGGTCCTTAAATTCAAGAGCCTGATTTCTCTGTAAGAGAGACCTTGAAACAAACTTTCCAACCCTTGGTTAAACAGAGAATTCAATAACTAAGCTTGAGCATTCTGGCTAGTCATGATTTCACCACACTTCCTTTTAACGTCCAAAATGAGTCTCTTTCAAACGTCAGGGATTCTTCTAGGATTTGGTGAACATTTTGCACCTTTCATGATTTAATAAATTTACATTCGGCTTTACTTAGCCTTCATCTCGGAAGATTTAAGGGTTCTCATCTTTTTCTGGTATATATGACAGCAGCACCACCATTCCACTCCCCTGGCCATGTTAAT